CATAAGGATCTCATCCCCCCCAGTCCCCCACATAGGGATCCCCCCCCCCCCCCCCAACATCCTTCTTTCCCAACTTCACTGTATTTTCTATGTGGATAAAATGTTTGAAATCAATAAACCTTCATTCTTAAATCTCTTGTATTTGTTCCTCTTCTATGAATTCTGAACTTTCCTCACAATTCTGATCCGGGGATCCCTATAATACACGTGTGCAATCTGGGGACCCTCTATAATACACGTACAATCTGGGGACCCCTATAATACACGTGTGCAATCCGGGGACCCTCTATAATACACGTGTGCAATCTGGGGACCCCTATAATACACGTGTGCAATCCGGGGACCCCTATAATACACGTGTACAATCCGGGGACCCTCTATAATACACGTGTACAATCCGGGGACCCCTATAATACACGTGTACAATCCGGGGACCCCCTATAATACACGTGTACAATCCGGGGACCCCTATAATACACGTGTACAATCCGGGGACCCCCTATAATACACGTGTACAATCCGGTACAATCCCCTATATAATACACGTGTACAATCCGGGGACCCCCTATAATACACGTGTACAATCCGGGGACCCCTATAATACACGTGTACAATCCGGGAACCCCCCTATAATACACGTGTACAATCCGGGGACCCCCTATAATACACGTGTACAATCCGGGGACCCTCTATAATACACGTGTACAATCCGGGGACCCTCTATAATACACGTGTACAATCGGGGACCCCCTATAATACACGTGTACAATCCGGGGACCCCCTATAATACACGTGTACAATCCGGGGACCCCTATAATACACGTGTACAATCCGGGGACCCCTATAATACACGTGTACAATCCGGGGACCCCCTATAATACACGTGTACAATCCGGGGATACACGTGTACCCCCTATAATACACGTGTACAATCCGGGGACCCCCTATAATACACGTGTACAATCCGGGGACCCCCTATAATACACGTGTACAATCCGGGGACCCCCTATAATACACGTGTACAATCCGGGGACCCCCTATAATACACGTGTACAATCCGGGGACCCCCTATAATACACGTGTACAATCCGGGGACCCCCTATAATACACGTGTACAATCCGGGGACCCCCTATAATACACGTGTACAATCCGGGGACCCCCTATAATACACGTGTAAAATCCGGGGACCCCCTATAATACAGGTGTACAATCTGGGGACATATAATATTTTCAAAATAGATAGTGCCGGGCCCCATGTACCAATATGTATATCTTATACTTGTCAAAGTGCTAATGAATAGCTTTCAAGATACTGCATGTATCAAACAATTATTACTAGTGACTCAAAAACATCATTGTGAATATTAATGATAATCCTAAGGTGATAGTGCCTATTAAAGTACAGTGATATACAAATCAGAAATACTCCTCTATTCTACTGTGATCCTTATATTTATATTGTGCAAAACACATATAGGGTGCACGTGCGATTATGATATATTCAATAAAAAAAAAAAAAAAAAAAAAAAAATTGAAGGAATTAGATAATTAATGACGAAATAGGTTACTTGAGGAAATAACATACATGCGTTTTCTATTATTTATTTTTTTATTATCGGGATTATTATTTGAACGAGGAAAAAAATATTTTTTATTTTATTTTATTGGGGAATTTCGGGATAATTTTGAATTTTATATTTTCGGGAATATTGTATTATTAATAAAACATAGGTTTTTAATTTAGCCTAATAGGTATACTTTCAGCAATATAATGATCCCCCAACGGCCATAGGTTTAGAAACTGACCAGAGCAAGAGACAGGTCACGGGAACGAGGACCCAGTTAGCAATGTCCTGGCAGACAGATATCACGTTATAATTTGAGTAGAGGACAACAGGGTAAACACTCACCATACGGGATAGAGTTTAAGAAAATCACTGGGAAAATGGCCGCGCCCATTGATAGGCTCCGGTAAAAATCCCGGCCGAGAGATATAAAATAGGAGTATTAGCATAGTCGGGCATCTAATCATTCCCCCTGATGAAGTCACGGTGAACCTGGACGATACGCGTAGGGAGGGGTTCTGACGTCACGACATTGCACTGGAGAGGCTCGGTGATCTGAATACAGACACAGGTAGACAGTACTGCAGGAACAGAGGCAGAGCCACATTTATGCTGGACTACAATTGTATACTACTGTGCAACTGGCAGCAATAAACCCCCTTTTTGCACAAGGATAAGGACACTATGGTCTGTTTGTCTTCCTTTCTCGGGAATTCGGGAACAACACCCTTTGAGCTGATATAAGGAGGACTGGAAAAGGAAACAGCCCCCAGGAGGGGAATTGGGAGATCCCCAGAGAGATGGTCAGTATACCCACTCATGAGCAGCTACAGGAGAACAAATATAAATCCACACCCCACCTTCTGAGATAATTCAAGAGCATCATTCCATCCCATCTATCCACGGCGGGAAGGTTAAAAAGTGTATTTGCCTGGATTTATTCAGGCAAATATAGAGGTGGCACATAGGGAGACCATTAACCCCCACTCGGCGAGAGGGAACCAAGAATCCACCTGCACATTTATTTTGAAAGACTTTTTTTTTTTTTTTCGGGAACGAGGATCCCCCACGGCGGAATATATCATAAAGCACGTGCACATAATATATGTGTTTTGCACAATATAAATATAGGATCACAGTAGAATAGAGGAGATAGGTTCTGATTTGTATATCACTGTACTTTAATAGGCACTATCACCTTAGGATTATCAGTTATTAATGTCACTTGCATGAAGATTAATATTCACAATGATGTTTTGAGTCACTAGTCGGGAATTGTTTGATACATGCAGTATCTTGAAAGCTATTCATTAGCACTTTGAAAGTATAAGATATACATATTGGTACATGAGAGCGCGGCACTATCTATTTTGAAAATATTATATACACACTAGCATATGAGTCAGTGCAAGTGCCAGCGAACCTCACGTGAGAAATAAGGACATCTAAAGTCATATTGAACACCTCATTTCATAATAGCTCACAAGCATTCACCATTGGGATACAATCGGGGGGACCCCCTCGGGATACAGGGTACAATCCGGGGACCCCCTATAATACACGTGTACAATCCGGGGACCCCCTATAATACACGTGTACAACCCCCCGGGGACCCCCTATAATACACGTGTACAATCCGGGGACCCCCTATAATACACGAGTACAATCCGGGAACTCCCTATAATACACGTGTACAATCCGGGGACCCCCTATAATACACGTGTACAATCCGGGGACCCCCCTAATAATACACGTGTACAATCCGGGGACCCCCTATAATACACGTGTACAATCCGGAGACCCCCATAATACACGTGTACAATCCGGGAACTCCCTATAATACACGTGTACAATCCGGGACCCCCTATAATACACGTGTACAATCCGGGGACCCCCTATAATACACGTTGTACAATCCGGGGACCCTCTATAATACATAGTGTACAATCCGGGGACCCCCTATAATACAGGTGTACAATCCGGGACCCCCTATAATACAGTGTACAATCCGGGAACTCCCTATAATACACGTGTACAATCCGGGGACCCCCTATAATACAGGTGTACAATCCGGGGACCCCCTATAATACAGGTGAACAATCGGCGGGGACCCCCTATAATACACGTGTACAATCCGGGGACCCTCTATAATACACGTGTACAATTCGGGGACCCCTATAATACACGTGTACAATTCGGGGACCCTCTATAATACACGTGTACAATTCGGGAACGAGGACCCTCTATAATACACGTGTACAATCCGGGGACCCCCTATAATACACGTGTACAATCCGGGGACCCCCTATAATACACGTGTACAATCTGGGGACCCCCTAGGTAATACAGGTGTACAATCCGGGGACCCCCCTGTAATACACGTGTACAATCCGGGGACCCCCTATATTACACGTGTACAATCCGGGGACCCTCTGTAATACACGTGTACAATCCGGGGACCCTCTATAATACACGTGTACAATCCGAGGGACCCCCTATAATACACGGGTACAATCCAGGGACCCTCTGTAATACACGTGTACAATCCGGGGACCCCCTATAATACACGTGTACAATCCGGGACCCTCTATAATACACACACACATTCTGAACGGGACCCCCCCGGGAGCCACAAGTGGCTGATCTATCACACATGACACAGACATGGCCATGGTGTCACCATCTGGAGCCCCCCCTGAGGTTTGCCATCACTGGGGTCATCACTGGGGGGTATGGGGACAGGAAGTGGCAGCAAAGAGGATGGCGGGAGATCAGCAGCTCTGAGATGTAGAAATGTAAAAATAAAGATTTGGTTTGGATAGGTTCGGGAACGAGGACCCCCACGTCGGGATAGGTTCGGGAACGAGGAACCCCCATGGCGGGATAGGTTCGGGAACGAGGACCCCCACGGCGGGATAGGTTCGGGAACGAGGACCCCCACGGCGGGATAGGTTCGGGAACGAGGATCCCCACGGCGGGATAGGTTCGGGAACGAGGACCCCCACATCGGGATAGGTTCGGGAACGAGGACCCCCACGGCGGGATAGGTTCGGGAACGAGGACCCCCACGGCGGGATAGGTTCGGGAAGGTTCGGGAGGAACCCCCATGGTGGGATCTCCGGGGATTTATACAACTTGGCAATGACTCCAGAACCTCCATGATTGGGACGGATGAGGTTCTGGGGATTGGATCCATCACAGAAGGTCAGAAGTCCCGGAAGATGGACGTCCTCCGGGGTCGCTCTTCACTCCTCCTGCTGATCTTTCCTGAGTCTTGGCCCCGTCTTCCCTCCGTCACCTGTCACAGCTGCCACATTCCTCTTCCCATCTTTGGTGTTGGGTTGGCCCTTCCAGGATCTAAATTTAGGGCCACATGGCCGGCCTGCAATCTCCAGACTCCACTCTCTGGACTCCACTCCCCATCCTAGACGGCACCCAGCCCGGCCTCTGTCCTCCTCCACTCCCCGTCCTGGACGGCACCCAGCCCGGCCTCTGTCCTCCTCCACTCCCCGTCCTGGACGGCACCCAGCCCGGCCTCTGTCCTCCTCCACTCCCCGTCCTGGACGGAGCCCGGGCACTCCCCGTCCTGGACGGCACCCAGCCCGGCCTCTGTCCTCCTCCACTCACAGCTTCAGGTAAAAGAGTTCATTCTCTTCTTCTTTCTTCTCTTTTATATTCAGTCCTCGTTATTCCATCCTCAGTCCTCGTTATTAGATCCTCAGTCCTCGTTATTAGATCCTCTCGTCCTCGTCCTCGTTATTAGATCCTCTATCCTCGTTATTCCATCCTCGTTATTCCTCGTCCTCGTTATTCCATCCTAAGTCCTCGTTATTACATCCTCGTCCTCGTTATTAGATCCATCCTCAGTCCTCGTCCTATTCCATCCTCAGTCCTCGTTATTCCATCCTCTGTCCTCGTTATTCCATCCTCAGTCCTAGTTATTCCATCCTCAGTCCTCGTTATTCCATCCTCAGTCCTCGTTATTAGATCCTCTGCCCTCGTTATTCCATCCTCAGTCCTAGTTCCTCGTTATTCCATCCTCATTCCTCGTTATTCCATCCTCAGTCCTCATTTTTCCATCCTCAGTCCTCGTTATTCCATCCTCAGTCCTAGTTATTCCATCCTCAGTCCTCATTATTCCATCCTCAGTCCTCGTTATTCCATCCTCAGTGCTAGTTATTCCATCCTCAGTCCTTGTTATTCCATCCTCAGTCCTCGTTATTCCATCCTCAGTCCTCGTTATTCCATCCTCAGTCCTAGTTATTCCATCCTCAGTCCTCCTCATTATTCCTCTGTCCTCATTCCATCCTCAGTCCTAGTTATTCCATCCTCAGTGCTAGTTATTCCATCCCTCAGTCCTCGTTGATCCTTATTCCATCCTCAGTCCTCGTTATTCCATCCTCAGTCCTCGTTATTCCATCCTCTGTCCTCGTTATTCCATCCTCAGTCCTAGTTATTCCATCCTCAGTCCTCGTTATTCCATCCTCATCCTCATTATTCCATCCTCAGTCCTCGTTATTAGATCCTCTGTCCTCGTTTATTCCATCCTAAGTCCTCGTTATTCCATCCTCAGTCCTCGTTATTATTAGTTATCCTCTGTCCTCGTTATTCCATCCTCAGTCCTCTTTATTCCATCCTCAGTTATTCCTCTCATTATTAGATCCTCTTCCTCGTTATTCCATCCTCAGTCCTCGTTATTCCATCCTCTGTTCTCTGTTAGGAGTCTAGGTCACGTGTTAGGTGTTTAGGTCACGTGTTAGGTCACGTGTTTAGGTCAGGTGTTAGGAGTCTAGGTCACGTGTTAGATGTTAGGTGTTTAGGTCATGTGTGTTAGGTCTACGTGTTAGGAGTCTAGGTCACGTGTTAGGAGTCTAGGTCACGTGTTAGATGTTTAGGTCACGTGTTAGGAGTCTAGGTCACGTGTTAGATGTTTAGGTCACGTGTTAGGTGTTTAGGTCACGTGTTAGGAGTTAGGTCACGTGTTAGGTGTTTAGGTCACGTGTTAGGTGTTTAGGTCACGTAGGTGTTAGGACGTGTCTAGGTCACGTGTTAGATGTTTAGGTCACGTGTTAGGTCACGTGTTAGGAGTCTAGGCTTACGTGTTAGGTGTTTAGGTCACTTGTTAGGAGTCTAGGTCACGTGTTAGGAGTCTAGGTCACGTGTTAGATGTTTAGGTCACGTGTTAGGAGTCTAGGTCACGTGTTAGATGTTTAGGTCACGTGTTAGGTGTTTAGGTCACGTGTTAGGAGTCTAGGTCACGTGTTAGATGTTTAGGTCACGTGTTAGGTGTTTAGGTCACGTGTTAGGTGTTTAGGTAATGTGTTAGGAGTCTAGGTCACGTGTTAGATGTTTAGGTCACGTGTTAGGTCACGTGTTAGGAGTCTAGGTTACGTGTTAGGTGTTTAGGTCACTTGTTAGGAGTCTAGGTCACGTGTTAGGAGTCGTAGGTCACGTGTTACGTGTTAGGAGTAGGTCACGTGTTAGGAGTCTAGGTCACGTGTTAGATGTTTAGGTCACGTGTTAGGAGTCTAGGTCACGTGTTAGGAGTCTAGGTCACGTGTTAGGAGTCTAGGTCACGTGTTAGGTGTTTAGGTCAGTTAGGAGTCTAGGTCACGTGTTAGGAGTCTAGGTCACGTGTTAGGAGTCTAGGTCACGTGTTAGGATGTTTAGGTCACGTGTTAGGAGTCTAGGTCACGTGTTAGGAGTCTAGGTCACGTGTTAGGAGTCTAGGTCACGTGTTAGGAGTCTAGGTCACGTGTTAGGAGTCTAGGTCACGTGTTAGGTGTTTAGGTCACGTGTTAGGAGTCTAGGTCACGTGTTAGGTGTTTAGGTCACGTGTTAGGTGTTAGGTCACGTGTTAGGTGTTTAGGTCACGTGTTAGGAGTCTAGGTCACGTGTTAGATGTTTAGGTCACGTGTTAGGAGTCTAGGTCACGTGTTTAGGTCACGTGTTAGTCTAGGTCACGTGTTAGATGTTTAGGTCACGTGTTAGGTGTTAGGTCACGTGTTAGGTGTTTAGGTCACGTGTTAGGAGTCTAGGTCACGTGTTAGATGTTTAGGTCACGTGTTTAGGTCACGTGTTAGGATGTCTAGGTCACGTGTTAGGAGTCTAGGTCACGTGTTAGGTGTTTACGTGTTAGGTCACGTGTTAGGAGTTAGGTCACGTGTTAGGAGTTTAGGTCACGTGTTAGGAGTCTAGGTCACGTGTTAGATGTTTAGGTCACGTGTTAGGAGTCTAGGTCACGTGTTAGGAGTCTAGGTCACGTGTTAGGAGTCTAGGTCACGTGTTAGGTGTTTAGGTCACGTGTTAGGAGTTTAGGTCACGTGTTAGGAGTCTAGGTCACGTGTTAGGTGTTTAGGTCACGTGTTAGGGTGTCTAGGTCACGTGTTAGGAGTCTAGGTCACGTGTTAGGAGTCTAGGTCACGTGTTAGGATGTTTAGGTCACGTGTTAGGATGTTTAGGTCACATGTTGTTAGGTCACGTGTAGATGTTTAGGTCACGTGTTAGGATGTCTAGGTCACGTGTTAGGAGTCTAGGTCACGTGTTAGGAGTCTAGGTCACGTGTTAGGTGTCTAGGTCACGTGTTAGGTGTTTAGGTCACGTGTTAGATGTTTAGGTCACGTGTTAGGTGTTTAGGTCACGTGTTAGGAGTCTAGGTCACGTGTTAGGATGTTTAGGTCACGTGTTAGTCTAGGGTAGATGTTTAGGTCACGTGTTAGGAGTCTAGGTCACGTGTTAGGAGTCTAGGTCACGTGTTAGGATGTTTAGGTCACGTGTTAGGATGTTTAGGTCACGTGTTAGGAGTCTAGGTCACGTGTTAGATGTGTTAGAGTCTAGGTCACGTGTTAGGGGTCTAGGTCACGTGTTAGGAGTCTAGGTCACGTGTTAGGAGTTCACGTGTTAGGAGTCTAGGTCACGTGTTAGGTTTAGGTCGTGTTAGGGGTCTAGGTCACGTGTTAGGGAGTCATGTGTTAGGTCACGTGTTAGGAGTCTAGGTCACGTGTTGATGTTTAGGTCACGTGTTAGGGGTCTAGGTCACGTGTTAGGAGTCTAGGTCACGTGTTAGGGAGTCTAGGTCACGTGTTAGATGTCTAGGTCACGTGTTAGGTGTTTAGGTCACGTGTCTTCTGGGTAATAACAGCGGAGCCTCTATTGGCTTCTCTAGCAGCACATGGAGCCACAGTCTCCTCCCAGTCCCGCCTCCTCAGTCCTGAGGAAGTCCCATACATCCTCCTCCATACACAACACACACCTGGGAGGAGGACACAGCCAGGCAATCGGTATGTCACAATGCGGCACTGACTGCTCTCTCTTTGTGTTTTGTTGCAGAGAATCCCTTTTCTGGCAGCTCCCCCCCCCCCCCCTTTGATTGTCAGCTGCCCTCCTTGCCGTGGCACTATGAGTAGTCAGGGGGTCCTGGACTCCTGCGGGGACTCTGTGCTCTGCTACAACAAGGGGTGCGCACAGCGATTCCTCATCACCAACAACCCTGCAGGTGAGTGCAATCAGCCACATATTCCTGTCCATCCAGTCCTGGGATGTACACAGCTCTGCCTGGTGGATGGCACTGCGACAGTCACAGTAGTGTCCTCCCTCCACCCCCAGGACAGTGAAGGAGCAGCGGCAGACTGATGAAGTCACCCCACCCCCAGATCACTCTGCTCTCTCCTCCTATCAGCATGATCCTTGTCAGCAGTACTGCATGCAGCACTCCTGATTGGCTCTCCCTCCCCAGTATGAGCCAATAGCCTGTGACTGATAATGGAGCCATATCTGTGATCTGTGTGATGGATCTGTGTGATCTGTGTGATGGATCTGTGTGATGGATCTGTGTGATCTGTGTGATGGATTTGCGTGATGGATCTGTGTGATCTGTGTGATGCATCTGTGTGATCTGTGTGATGGATCTGTGTGATGGATCTGTGTGATGGATCTGTGTGATGGATCTGTGTGATCTGTGTGATCTGTGTGATGGATCTGTGTGATGATCTGTGTGATCTGTGTGATGATCTGTGTGGATCTGTGTGATGGATCTGTGTGATCTGTGTGATGGATTGTGTGCGTGATCTGTGTGATCTGTGTGATGATCTGTGTGATCTGTGTGATCTGTGTGATGGATCTGTGTGATGATCTGTGTGATCTGTGTGATGCATCTGTGTGATGGATCTGTGTGATGATGGATCTGTGTGATGGATCTGTGTGATCTGTGTGATGGATTGTGCGTGATGGATCTGTGTGATGCATCTGTGTGATGGATCTGTGTGATCTGTGTGATGGATCTGCGTGATGGATCTGTGGATTGCATCTGTGTGATCTGTGTGATGGATCTGTGTGATGGATCTGTGTGATGGATCTGTGTGATGGATCTGTGTGATCTGTGTGATGCATCTGTGTGATGGATCTGTGTGATCTGTGTGATGGATCTGAGTGATCTGTGTGATCTGTGTGTGATCTGTGTGTGTGATGGATCTGTGTGATGGATGTGTGTGATCTGTGTGTGATCTGTGTGATGTATCTGTGTGATGATCTGTGTGATCTGTGTGATGCATCTGTGTGATCTGTGTGTGATCTGTGTGATGGATCTGTGTGATGGATCTGTGTGATCTGATGGATCTGTGTGATGGATCTGTGTTGCTGTGTGATGGATCTGTGTGATCTGTGTGATGGATCTGTGTGATCTGTGTGATGGATCTGTGTGAGGATCTGTGTGATGGATCTGTGTGATGGATCTGTGTGATGGATCTGTGTGATCTGTGTGATCTGTGTGATGGATCTGTGTGTGATCTGTGTGATCTGTGTGATGGATCTGTGTGATCTGTGTGATCTGTGTGATCTGTGTGATGGATCTGTGTGATGGATCTGTGTGATGGATCTGTGTGATGATCTGTGTGATCTGTGTGATGATGCATCTGTGTGTGTGATGGATCTGTGTGATGGATCTGTGTGATGGATCTGTGTGATCTGTGTGATGCATCTGTGTGATGTGATCTGTGTGATGTGATCTGTGTGATGGATCTGTGTGATGGATCTGTGTGATGGATCTGTGTGTGATGATCTGTGATCTGTGTGATGCATCTGTGTGATGGATCTGTCTGTGTGATGGCATCTGTGTGATGGATTTGCTGTGATGGATCTGTGTGATGGATCTGTATGATCTGTGTGATGCATCTGTGTGATGGATCTGTGTGATCTGTGTGATGGATCTGAGTGATCTGTGTGTGGATCTGTGTGATGGATCTGTGTGATGGTGTGATCTGTGATCTGTGTGATGGATCTGTGTGATGGATCTGAGTGATGGATCTGTGTGATGCATGTGATGATCTGTGTGATGGATCTGTGTGATGCATCTGTGTGATCTGTGTGATGGATCTGTGTGATGGATCTGAGTGATCTGTGTGACGGATCTGTGTGACGGATCTGTGTGATGGATCTGTGTGATGGATGTGTGTGATCTGTGTGACGGATCTGTGTGATCTGTGTAATGGATCTGCTGGGAGCGCAGCAGCACAGTCCTGCCTTGTAGTGAGGCCACACCCACCCTGATGGGGTAACTGTGTCTGTCTAGGGAGGGGGGAACCTCACCAAAGGCCCCCCCCTCATCCTCTGGTGGTGGACTATCATTCAGTGTCTTCACATCCAGTGTAGAGCTGATGGGCCCTGCATCGGTCCTGATGACATTAGAGGACCTTAGACTGATCCAGCAAAGGGTAGGAGAGGTGGCGAGGACCAGTCTAGCAGCATGGAGGAGCCTGCAGGAGCGGAGGTAGGTGGCGAGGACCGGTCTGATGCAGCATGGAGGAGCCTGCGGGAGCGGAGGTAGGTGGCGAGGACCAGTCTAGCAGCATGGAGGAGCCTGCAGGAGCGGAGGTAGGTGGCGAGGACCGGTCTAGCAGCATGGAGGAGCCTGCGGGAGTGGAGGTAGGTGGCGAGGACCAGTCTAGCAGCATGGAGGAGCCTGCGGGAGCGGAGGTAGGTGGCGAGGACCAGTCTAGCAGCATGGAGGAGCCTGCGGGAGCGGAGGTAGGTGGCGAGGACCAGTCTAGCAGCATGGAGGAGCCTGCGGGAGCGGAGGTAGGTGGCGAGGACTAGTCTAGCAGCATGGAGGAGCCTGCGGGAGCGGAGGTAGGTGGCGAGGACCAGTCTAGCAGCATGGAGGAGCCTGCGGGGACGGAGGATCCAGTCAGTAAAGCTGCTGTCCCCCGGTCCCCCTAGGAATCAATGCACATTGAACCCTTGCAGTACAGACACAGTCCCGCTACCAGGAGGACGTAGAGCTTTGTTGGAGTTCAGCTGTAACTAAAACTTGGCATGGAGGTCCGTTGTGTGGATATGGTGAGAATCAGGAGTAGATGATCCTGAACTAAGACAAGTTTTTATTTCCCCCCATAGATGCTTGCCTCTTCCACCCTGGGTATCCCATCTTCCATGATGCTCTGAAGGTCAGTAGATCTCATGCGGATCTCTTTCTCGATATTCTGGCTGTTGTCACTGAGGATTTGTTTTCTGTCTCAGGGTTGGTCCTGCTGTAGGAAGCGCACAACGGACTTTTCCGAATTTCTGGCCATCCAGGTGAGTTCCTCTGCCGATGACAATCCCTCTGTGTGTGTGGGGGGAGGGGGGGGGGGTAAATGTGCACCAGGTCTTCTCACCCAACATCAGTACCTGGCCTCACAAATGGGATAATTCCCACAGATGTCCTCCAAAGCTCTCCTGGAAGAGTAGAGGATGTCAAAGCCACAATGGGGGCAACTTCATTTATATGGCCACGGGGGAGGCATCTCTATAAAAATGGCTGTGGTGGGGGGCACTACCAATTAGTGGCCATGGGGGAGAGGACCACTCCATATTAGTGGCCACAGGGGGAGAGGCCATAGGGAGAGAGCACCAAGTCCAATCACTAACAAGCTCGTGCAGACTCCGCCTCCGCAACATCACCAAAATCCACACGTTCCTAACCCCAGAAACCACTAAACAGCTCATCCACTCCCTCATCATATCACGACTCGACTACTGCAACTCCCTCCTCACTGGCCTGCCCCGCCACAGGCTATCCCCGCTTCAGTCCATCCTGAACACGGCTGCCAGACTCCTTCACCTTTCCAACCGCTCCATCTCCGCCACCCCCCTCTGCCAATCCCTCCACTGGCCTCCACTCCGTGTCCGCCACCCCCTTCTGCCAATCCCTCCACTGGCCTCCACTCAGTGTCCTCCATCCATCTCTGCCAATCCCTCCACTGGCCTCCATTCAGTGTCCTCCATCCATCTCTGCCAATCCCTCCACTGGCCTCCATTCAGTGTCCTCCACCCATCTCTGCCAATCCCTCCACTGGCCTCCATTCAGTGTCCTCCACCCCCCTCTGCCAATCCCTCCACTGGCTTCCTCCCCCCTCTGCCAATCCCTCCACTGGCCTCCACCCCCCTCTGCCAATCCCTCCACTGGCCTCCACCCCCCTCTGCCAATCCCTCCACTGGCCTCCACTCAGTGCCCTCCACCCCCCTCTGCCAATCCCTCCACTGATCTCCACTCAGTGTCCTCCATCCCTCTCTGCCAATCCCTCCACTGGCCTCCATTCAGTGTCCTCCTCCCCTCTCTCCCAATCCCTCCACTGACCTCCATCAGTGTCCTCCACCCCTCTCTGCCAATCCCTCCACTGGCCTCCATTCAGTGTCCTCCACCCCTCTCTCCCAATCCCTCCACTGACCTCCACTCAGTGTCCTCCACCCCTCTCTGCCAATCCCTCCACTGGCCTCCATTCAGTGTCCTCCACCCCCCTCTGCCAATCCCTCCACTGACCTCCACTCAGTGTCCTCCACCCCTCTCTGCCAATCCCTCCACTGGCTTCCACTCAGTGTCCTCCATCCCCCTCTGCTAATCCCTCCACTGGCCTCCACTCAGTGTCCTCCACCCCCCTCTGCCAATCCCTCCACTGGCCCCCATTCAGTGTCCTCCACCCCCCTCTGCCAATCCCCTCCACTCAGTGTCCTCCTCCCCCTCTGCCAATCCCTCCACTGGCCCCCATTCAGTGTCCTCCACCCCCCTCTGCCAATCCCTCCACTGGCCTCCATTCAGTGTCCTCCATCCCTCTCTGCCAATCCCTCCACTGGCCTCCATTCAGTGTCCTCCTCCCCTCTCTCCCAATCCCTCCACTGACCTCCACTCAGTGTCCTCCACCCCTCTCTGCCAATCCCTCCACTGGCCTCCATTCAGTGTCCTCCACCCCTCTCTCCCAATCCCTCCACTGACCTCCACTCAGTGTCCTCCACCCCTCTCTGCCAATCCCTCCACTGGCCTCCATTCAGTGTCCTCCACCCCCCTCTGCCAATCCCTCCACTGACCTCCACTCAGTGTCCTCCACCCCTCTCTGCCAATCCCTCCACTGGCTTCCACTCAGTGTCCTCCATCCCCCTCTGCTAATCCCTCCACTGGCCTCCACTCAGTGTCCTCCACCCCCTCTGCCAATCCCTCCACTGGCCCCCATTCAGTGTCCTCCACCCCCCTCTGCCAATCCCTCCACTCAGTGTCCTCCTCCCCTCTGCCAATCCCTCCACTGGCCCCCATTCAGTGTCCTTCACCCCCCTCTGCCAATCCCTCCACTGGCCTCCATTCAGTGTCCTCCACCCCCCTCTCTGCCAATCCCTCCACTGGCCTCCACTCAGTGTCCTCCACCCCCCTCTGCCAATCCCTCCACTGGCTTCCGATTGCGCAACGGATCAAATTCAAAATCCTAACACTGACGTACAAAGCCGTCCACCATACTGCCCCGAACTACATCACCGACCTAATATCCAAGTACCACCCAACACGCACACTCCGCTCCTCACAAGACCTCCTTCTCTCTAGTTCCCTGGTCTCCTCCTCCCATGCCCGCCTCCAGGACTTCTCCAGGGCGTCACCCATCCTCTGGAACTCCCTACCCCAACCCATGAGATTATCACCTACTCTCCTCTCCTTTAGGCGCACCCTGAAAACCCATCTCTTCAGGGAAGCCTACCCCACCCCCTGCTAACCTGCCGACCTCCTCCACTCTTCCTACCACTCCATCCCCCACAGCTATCTCCTCCTGTGCCACCATCCCCCCCTCCTAGATTGTAAGCTCCAAGGATCAGGACCCTCAATCCCCTCATGTATCACATTGTATTGGTATTGTTCTGTCTCCCATTATAATGTACAGCGCTGAGCGAACTATCGGCACTTTATAAATACTGTATAATAATAATATTAGTTGCCATAGAGGGAGAGAACATCTCTATATTACGTACTTTATACGTATCCATTGTATATACTGTATACTCCATATGTACCCATTGTATATACTGTATACTCCATATGTACCCATTGTATATACTGTATACTCCATATGTACCCATTGTATATACTGTATACTCCATATGTACCCATTGTATATAGTGCATACTCCATATGTACCCATTGTATATACTGTATACTCCATATGTATCCATTGTATATAGTGTATACTCCATATGTACCCATTGTATATAGTGTATACTCCATATGTATCCATTGTATATACTGTATACTCCATATGTACCCATTGTATATACTGTATACTCCATATGTACCCATTGTATATAGTGCATACTCCATATGTATCCATTGTATATAGTGCATACTCCATATGTATCCATTGTATATAGTGTATACTCCATATGTACCCATTGTATATAGTGTATACTCCATATGTACCCATTGTATATAGTGTATACTCCATATGTATCCATTGTATATACTGTATACTCCATATGTATCCATTGTATATACTGTATACTCCATATGTATCCATTGTATATAGTGCATACTCCATATGTACCCATTGTATATACTGTATACTCCATATGTACCCATTGTATATACTGTATACTCCATATGTACCCATTGTATATACTGTATACTCCATATGTACCCATTGTATATAGTGCATACTCCATATGTATCCATTGTATATAGTGCATACTCCATATGTACCCATTGTATATACTGTATACTCCATATGTATCCATTGTATATAGTGTATACTCCATATGTACCCATTGTATATAGTGTATACTCCATATGTATCCATTGTATATACTGTATACTCCATATGTACCCATTGTATATACTACCCATTGTATATAACTGTATACTCCATATGTACCCATTGTATATACTGTATACTCCATATGTACCCATTGTATATAGTGCATACTCCATATGTATCCATTGTATATAGTGCATACTCCATATGTACCCATTGTATATACTGTATACTCCATATGTATCCATTGTATATAGTGTATACTCCATATGTACCCATTGTATATAGTGTATACTCCATATGTATCCATTGTATATACTGTATACTCCATATGTACCCATTGTATATACTGTATACTCCATATGTACCCATTGTATATAGTGCATACTCCATATGTATCCATTGTATATAGTGCATACTCCATATGTATCCATTGTATATAGTGTATACTCCATATGTACCCATTGTATATAGTGTATACTCCATATGTACCCATTGTATATAGTGTATACTCCATATGTATCCATTGTATATACTGTATACTCCATATGTATCCATTGTATATAGTGCATACTCCATATGTATCCATTGTATATACTGTATACTCCATATGTATCCATTGTATATAGTGCATACTCCATATGTATCCATTGTATATACTGTATACTCCATATGTACCCATTGTATATACTGTATACTCCATATGTATCCATTGTATATACTGTATACTCCATATGTACCCATTGTATATAGTGTATACTCCATATGTACCCATTGTATATAGTGTATACTCCATATGTACCCATTGTATATACTGTATACTCCATATGTACCCATTGTATATAGTGCATACTCCATATGTACCCATTGTATATAGTGCATACTCCATATGTATCCATTGTATATACTGTATACTCCATATGTACCCATTGTATATAGTGTATACTCCATATGTACCCATTGTATATAGTGCATACTCCATATGTACCCATTGTATATAGTGCATACTCCATATGTATCCATTGTATATACTGTATACTCCATATGTATCCATTGTATATACTGTATACTCCATATGTACCCATTGTATATAGTGTATACTCCATATGTATCCATTGTATATAGTGCATACTCCATATGTACCCATTGTATATACTGTATACTCCATATGTACCCATTGTATATACTGTATACTCCATATGTATCCATTGTATACTCCATATGTATCCATTGTATATAGTGCATACTCCATATGTACCCATTGTATATACTGTATACTCCATATGTACCCATTGTATATACTGTATACTCCATATGTACCCATTGTATATAGTGCATACTCCATATGTATCCATTGTATATAGTGCATACTCCATATGTACCCATTGTATACATTGTATATATGTATCCATTTGTATACTCCATATGTATGTTGTTTCTCTGGGTAACCATTGTGGGTCTTTCCTTCCCTTAGGGCTGCACTAAGGGGCCACACAGCAATGAGAAACCATTGGAAGCTCTAAAACCCGACATCTCTGGAAACAAACCCGCCTCTGATGGCTCGGCCCCTGAAATCATTGTCCGGGGCCCCAAGTCTGCAGAGAGATGCTGAAGGAGAGGCCGAGGTAATGATATCCAATGTCTATAAGTCCTGGAAATGAGTTCTCAGGTAACGGCAGCAAAACGGCTCGCCAGTGTCACACGGAACAAATAATAGTTCCTGGAACACCGGGCTCCTATTTATAGATAATGTGTGGGAGGGGCTCCTCAGGGGATGTCCTTAGTCCTTTCAAGGAGTTCCTGTGAAGCCCACCTCTCTGTGATTGGTGGCTTTCCTCTATCATGGATCATGTCATTCACACACTGAATTTCATAGTAAAATACACTTTATGGCTGAAGAGGAATTTGAGATTTTGATATGCCAAAAATTGTTTGTACCCTTCACCATCACACACCCATAGAATGGCCATTAATATGGAGTTGTCCTCCCACCATGGCCATTAATATGGAGTTGTCCTCCCACCATGGCCATTAATATGGAGTTGTCCTCCCACCACAGCCATTAATATGGAGTTGTCCTCCCACCATGGCCATTAATATGGAGTTGTTCCCCCCACCATGGCCATTAATACGGAGCTGTCCTCTCATGGCCATTAATATGGAGTTGTCCTCCAACCATGACCATTAATATGGAGTTGTCCCTCCACCATGGGCATTAATATGGAGTTGTCCCCCACCATGACCATTAATATGGAGTTGTCCCCCACCATGACCATTAATATGGAGTTGTCCTCCACCATGACCATTAATGTGGAGTTGTTCTCCACCATGACCATTAATGTGGAGTTGTCCTCCACCATGACCATTAATGTGGAGTTGTTCTCCACCATGGCCATTAATATGGAGTTGTCCTCCACCATGACCATTAATATGGAGTAGTCCCGCACCATGACCATTAATATGGAGTAGTCCCCCACCATGGCCATTAATATGGAGTAGTCCCCCAATATGACCATTAATATGGAGTAGTCCCCCACCATGGCCATTCTGTCCTGGCTGTAGGTGTGCACGGTCTGGTTATGACAGTCAGGCTGTCTGTTGTTCAGCACACAGGAGGAGATGAGGCCTCTTCTGCTGAAGGTCTCCCAGTCATTAGAAGAAGAATTGGAGAAGCTGACGTTGTCGATGAAGTCAGACTCTCAGATAAAAGGTGAGGGGGAGGGGGGGCTCAGATTATAACACTCATTGCGCTCCACTTGTTCCAGGACTCTGAAGGAAGTAGAGGGATGAGAAAGAAACTAATAAACATGGTGCCGACCGGCGGAGACAGAGCACATATCCGCTCTGTGCTACACACAGATGCCAAGGACAGGTACACAAGGACAGGTACACAAGGACAGGTAAACAGGGACAGGTACACAGGGAAAGGTATACAAGGACAGGTACACAGAGACAGGTACACAGAGACAGGTACACAGAGACAGGTACACAGAGACAGGTACACAGGGACAGGAACACAGGGACAGGAACACAGGGACAGGTACACAGGGAAAGGTATACAAGGACAGGTACACAGAGACAGGTACACAGAGACAGGTACACAGAGACAGGTACACAGGGACAGGTACACAGGGAAAGGTACACAAGGACAGGTACACAAGGACAGGTACACAAGGACAGGTAAACAGGGACAGGTACACAGAGACAGGTATACAAGGTACAAGGACAGGTACAAAGAGACAGGTACACAGAGACAGGTACGCGGGGACAGGTACGCAGGGACAGGAACACAGGGACAGGAACACAGGGACAGGAACACAGGGACAGGTACACAGGGACAGGTACACAGGGACAGGTACACAGGGACAGATACACAGGGACAGGTACGGACAGGGACAGGTATACAAGGACAGGTACGCAGGGACAGGAACACAAGGACAGGTACGCAGGGACAGGTACAAAGAGACAGGTACACAGAGACAGGTACACAAGGACAGGAACACAGGGACAGGTACACAGGGACAGGTACACAAGGACAGATACACAGGGACAGATACACAGGGACAGATACACAGGGACAGGTACGCAGGGACAGGTATACAAGGACAGGTACGCAGGGACAGGAACACAAGGACAGGTACACAGGGACAAGTACACAGGGACAGGTACACAGGGACAGGTACACAGGGACAGGTACACAAGGACAGATACACAGGGACAGGTACGCAGGGAGAGGTATACAAGGACAGGTACGCAGGGACAGGAACACAAGGACAGGTACGCAGGGACAGGTACACAAGGACAGGTACGCAGGGACAGGTACACAAGGTACACAAGGACAGTTACGCAGGGACAGGTACGCAGGGACAGGTACACAAGGACAGTTACGCAGGGACAGGTACACAAGGACAGGTACGCAGGGACAGGTACGCAGGGACAGGGAAGGAATCGCGCTTTGCTGTTCTCTCCGCAGTTTTCTTCCTCAGATCCACAATCAATAAATAATTATATCTTTTATGTCGGCAACAGAGGAGATGGCGGAGGCAGCGCTGGGGACGCGGTGTAAACACTCCGGCTGTAAAGAGGTGAGGAGGGAGGTGACCTGTATATGGGGGTGACCTGTATATGGGGGTGACCTGTATATGGGGGTGACGTGTATATTGGGGTGACGTGTATATGGGGGTGACCTGTATATGGAGGTGACCTGTATATTGGGGTGACGTGTATATGGGGTGACCTGTATATGGGGGGGTGAGGTATATATGGGGTGACCTGTATATGGGGGTGACCTGTATATGGGGGTGAGGTATATATGGGGGTGATCTGTATATATGGGGGTGACATGTATATATGGGGGTGAAATGTATATTGGGGTGACATGTATATGGGGGGTGATGTGCTGATAACACAGACCTGTTTTGCAGACTTTCCAAGGAGCAGAGATGGAGGAGGGGCCGTGTGTACATCACCCGGGGGTCCCCGTATTCCATGAAGGGTGAGGATTTGATTTCTGTCCCCCGATATCCGATTGTACCATAATCACACAGCACACTATAGGGGCTCATCACACAGCACACTATAGAGGGGCTCATCACACAGCACACTATAGGGGCTCATCACACAGCACACTATAGAGGGGCTCATCACACAGCACACTATAGAGGGGCTCATCACACAGCACACTATAGAGGGGCTCATCACACAGCACACTATAGAGGGGCTCATCACACAGCACACTATAGAGGGGCTCATCACACAGTACACTATAGAGGGGCTCATCACACAGCACACTATAGAGGGGTACACTATCATCATACACAGTACACTATAGAGGGGCTCATCATACAGTACACTATAGAGGGGCTCATCACACAGTACACTATATAGGGGCTCTCATTCACACCAGCAGACCTTCTCAGTGCAAGGACAAGATCTGTCTTCTGTCACATGGCTGCAGTTCACACAACGCGCTGGATTGGTTTGTCCTGAGAACGGAGACGCTGCATTTCAGTGCTGTGTATTCTTCCCGCGTTGTGTATTCTTCCCTCCGCGTTGTGTATTCTTCCCTCCGCGTTGTGTATTCTTCCCTCCGCGTTGTGTATTCTTCCGCGCTCTGTATTCTTCCCGCGCTCTGTATTCTTCCCCGCTCGCCGCGCCGTGTATTCTTCCCGCGCTGTGTATTCTTCCCGCGCTGTGTATTCTTCCCGCGCTGTGTATACTTCCCGCGTTGTGTATTTTCCGCGCTGTGTATTCTTCCCGCGCCGTATATTCTTCCCGTGCGGTATATGTGTATTCTTCCCGCGTTGTGTATTCTTCCCGCGCTGTGTATTCTTCCCGCGCTGTGTATTCTTCCCGCGCGCTGTGTATTCTTCCCGCGTTGTGTATTCTTCCCGCGCTGTGTATTCTTCCGTTCCCGCGTTGTGTATTCTTCCCGCGCCGTGTATTCTTCCCGCGCCGTGTATTCTTCCCGCGCCGTGTATTCTTCCCGCGCCGTGTATTCTTCCCGCGCCGTGTATTCTTCCCGCGCGTTGTGTATTCTTCCCGTGTTGTGTATTCTTCCCGCGTTGTGTATTCTTCCCGCGCCGTGTATAATTCTTTCGGTATATTCTTCCCGCGCCGTGTATTCTTCCCGCGCCGTGTATTCTTCCCGCGCCGTGTATTCTTCCCGCGTTGTATTCTTCCCGCGCCGTGTATTCTTCCCGCGCCGTGTATTCTTCCCGCGCCGTGTATTCTTCCCGCGCCGTGTATTCTTCCCGCGCCGTGTATTCTTCCCGCGCCGTGTATTCTTCCCGCGCTGTGTATTCCGCGGTGACGCACCACACGCTCTGCGGCACATATATGTTCCATAGGGGTCAGTAGAAGAGGAGGTCCCGTGGTTGCAGCGGACAGAGGGGCCCCCCCATGCATTGTACAGACAGTAATGTGCGCTGTGTGAATGAGCCCCCGGAGCTCCTGTGTATATACTCCCGTATACCCTGGCATGTATACACCTTCTCCTGCTGGCAGTATACAGAACATGACCTCTCTCCCTGCAGAATGAAGTATTGGTCCTGCTGCTGCAATAAAACCAGCGACTTCAATGAATTCCTGGAGCAGAAGGGGGTGTGTCAGCGGGCGCCATCTTTGGGTGCAGCCGCCGGGGAAGCAGGTGAGGACAGACAAACGATCCTTCTCTCACCCCTCCCCCAGAGGTGTCCCCCCACCCCATGTGACCCGCGCTGACAATTGCCCACCATTGGCGCTGTCACATGGGATCCATACCTGGACTAGCGTCTTCCATGAAGGGTGGGGAGATGATTTCTGTCCCCCAATATCTGATTGTACCGTGATCACTGGGGGGGAGGGGCTCATGTATCCCAGAACACCCCCAAAGGGAAAAGGGGTCCAACGGTAGAAGAAGTGCTGAACTGTTATTGGGTAATCCATAAAAAGACCCAACACATGTCGGGGTTCAGATGTCTCCTAATGAAGGCGTGGCTGAACCCCGAAACGTGTCGGCTTTCCTCTTCTAATCATCCCATAAAAACACAATCAGACCAGTGTGGAGCTCATACTGCCTCCAGTGCAGGGGAGTGCGTGCCTAGTGCCACCAGGGTGAATGGAGCAGTGGGGAAGGTAACCCTCGGGGGGGGGGTGCATTAGGGTGAATGGAGCAGTGGGGAAGGTAACCATCGGGGGGTGCATTAGGGTGAATGGAGCAGTGGGGAAGGTAACCATCGGGGGGCTGCATTAGGGTGAATGGAGCAGTGAGGAAGGTAACCATCGGGGGGTGCATTAGGGTGAATGGAGCAGTGGGAAGGTAACCATCGGGGGGTGCATTAGGGTGAATGGAGCAGTGGGGAAGGTAACCATCGGGGGGGGTGCATTAGGGTGAATGGAGCAGTGGGGAAGGTAACCATCGGGGGGTGCATTAGGGTGAATGGAGCAGTGGGGAAGGTAACCATCGGGGGGTGCATTAGGGTGAATGGAGCAGTGGGGAAGGTAACCATCGGGGGGGGTGCATTAGGGTGAATGGAGCAGTGGGGAAGGTAACCATCGGGGGGGTGCATTAGGGTGAATGGAGCAGTGGGGAAGGTAACCATCGGGGGGGTGCATTAGGGTGAATGGAGCAGTGGGAAGGTAACCATCGGGGGGGTGCATTAGGGTGAATGGAGCAGTGGGGAAGGTAACCATCGGGGGGTGCATTAGGAATGAATGGAGCAGTGGGGAAGGTAACCATCGGGGGGTGCATTAGGGTGAATGGAGCAGTGGGGAAGGTAACCATCGGGGGGGTGCATTAGGGTGAATGGAGCAGTGGGGAAGGTAACCATCGGGGGGGGGCATTAGGGTGAATGGAGCAGTGGGGAAGGTAACCATCGGGGGGGGGCATTAGGGTGAACCTGTTGCTCTTCCCTGCTTGGACCACACACAGGTTCACTGTAATCATCTTCCTCCTGGAATTCCTGTGATGAGATCCATGCCTCTGCAATGGGAATGATGGGGACGGTGGGAATGATGGGACGGTGAGAAAGATGGGAATGATGGGAGTGATGGGAATGATGGGAGTGGTGGGAATGATGGTTATGGTGGGAGTGGTGGGAATGATGGGAACGGTGGGAATGATGGGAGTGGTGGGAATGATGGGACGGTGAGAAAGATGGGACGGTGAGAAAGATGGGAATGATGGGAGTGATGGGAATGATGGGAGTGGTGGGAATGATGGTTATGGTGGGAGTGGTGGGAATGATGGGAACGGTGGGAATGATGGGACGGTGAGAAAGATGGGAATGATGGGACAGTGGGAGTGGTAGGAATGATGGGAGTGATGGGAATGATGGGGACGGTGGGAATGATGGGACGGTGAGAAAGATGGGAATGGTGGGAATGATGGGACAGTGGGAGTGGTGGGAATGATGGGAGTGATGGGAATGATGGGAGTGGTGGGAATGATGGTTATGGTGGGAGTGGTGGGAATGATGGGAACGGTGGGAATGATGGGAGTGGTGGGAATGATGGTTATGGTGGGAGTGGTGGGAATGATGGGGAACGGTGGGAATGATGGGAGTGGTGGGAATGATGGGGACGGTGGGAATGATGGGACGGTGGGAATGATGGGGACGATGGGAGTGGTGGAAATGATGGGACGGTAGGGGGATGATGGGGGGGGAGTGGTGGGAATGATGGGACGGTGGGAATGATGGGACGGTGGGAATGATGGGAGTGGTGGGAATGATGGGAGTGGTGGGAATGATGGGACGGTGGGAATGATGGGAGTGGTGGGAATGATGGGAGTGGTGGGAATGATGGGAGTGGTGGGAATGATGGAAGTGGTGGGAATGATGGGACGGTGGGAATGATGGGAGTGGTGGGAATGATGGGACGGTGGGAATGATGGGAGTGGTGGGAATGATGGGACGGTGGGAATGATGGGAGTGGTGGGAATGATGGGACGGTGGGAATGATGGGAGTGGTGGGAATGATCGAAGTGGTGGGAATGATGGGACGGTGGGAATGATGGGAGTGGTGGGAATGATGGGAGTGGTGGGAATGATGGGAGTGGTGGGAATGATGGGACGGTGGGAATGATGGGAGTGGTGGGAATGATGGAAGTGGTGGGAATGATGGGAGTGGTGGGAATGATGGGAGTGGTGGGAATGATGGGACGGTGGGAATGATGGGAGTGGTGGGAATGATCGAAGTGGTGGGAATGATGGGACGGTGGGAATGATGGGAGTGGTGGGAATGATGGGACGGTGGGAATGATGGGAGTGGTGGGAATGATGGGAAGACATTAGATTGCGATGGTTCCTCCTCACCCCGCTCCGTCACTGTCCATGTCTCTCTCTCAGGAGGTTCCGTGTCGCTATGACTGGCATCAGACCGGCGCTCTGGTGGTCATCACGGTTTATGCCAAGTCTTCCATACCGGATCTCACCAGGATTCACGCCAATCGCACACAGGTGAGAGGCCCAGAGCCCAGATAATTCAGCGCTAGCATGCGGTCAGTGAAATGAATTGCAGAGGACCTGTACTGTGGGAGTTGTACCCAACAGAGGCTAGTAGAAGGCAAAGCGCCGGCCTCCAGCATTGTCTGCCATCTTCCTGCAGCTGATCTTCTGTCCACTATTTCCATCATCTTTTTATCATGCCTTGTTCTGTACTGTGTCCCTGTGGAGGCAGCCATCTTGGTAGGGGCAGGGCTTTGCTTCCTCATGTCAGAGCTGCCCTCCTCATGACTGGTGGGGTGATGATAGAGGTGGAGGAAGCACAGATCCACAGAATGGAGGAAGCAGAAGCAGGGAGACCCTTGTACTGCAGGTCTTTAGATACAGCTTCCCCTCCAGCAAGGAGAACAGTGAGAAGTAGGTTAGTAGGACATAGCCACCAATATTGCTTGTGGTTTCCCTTCAACTAATCATTTCCCTCTTACTGACTCACCATGCCTTGTTCTGCACCGTGCCCCTGTGTGGAGGCGGCCATCTTGGTAGAGGCAGGGCTTTGCTTCCTCATTTCAGACTGTTCCCCCCTGATGACTGGAGGGGTAATCATAGAAGTGGAGGAAGCACAGATCCCCAGAATGGTAGAAGCAGGAAGATCCTTCCACTGCGGGCCCTCAGGTACAGATTCCCCTCCAGTAAGGAGAACAGTGAGCAGCACAGTAGTTCCATCATCAAGTCTCACTCAAAATCTGGTGGAGTCAGCAGTACCTTAGATGATCTCACACTGAGGATATACAGCTGAGAGGATACAGATCAGGATTACATGCACTGATATCAGGAGTACCTAGGCACAGGAAGTGCTCCGATATCAGGAGTACCTAGGTACAGGAAGTGCTTTGATGTCAGGAGTACCTAGGTACAGGAGGTGCTCTGATATCAGGAGTGCCTAGGCACAGGAAGTGCTCTGATATTGGGAGTGCCTAGGAATATTAAATGCTCTGATATTGGGAGTACCTAGGCACAGGAATTGCTCCGATATTAGGAGTGCCTAGGCACACGAAATGCTCTGATATCAGGAGTGCCTAGGCACAGGAATTGCTCCGATATTGGGAGTGCCTAGGAATATTAAATGCTCTGATATTGGGAGTGCCTAGGCACAGGAAGTGCTCTGATGTCAGGAGTGTATAGGCACACGAAATGCTCTGATATCAGGAGTGCCTAGGCACAGGAATTGCTCCGATATTGGGAGTGCCTAGGCACAGGAAGTGCTCTGCTGGGAGGCGGGAAGTGCTAAGTCTCTTGTGCTTCTTTCTGCAGATGGACATTCAGATCACCTTTCAGGAGGACAAGGAATTCAGGAAGAAGCTGGAGCTGTGGGGGGTAAGGCCAGGGCCGAGTCGCTCTTCCAGGTGGAGGAGTTCGCTCTTTATTTTCTATGATTTGATGGTCAGATAAATGTGAAATGTTGATCCTTCTGTACGATCGCAGCGCCCACACATGGATTGACATTCGTCCGGATTCTGCTGACCTGGTGAATGTCTGTCCTTGTATGGCCGGCCTCAGTCTCCTTTTCACATTCTTAGCTGTGCGGTGTTAACAGAGCTCAATAGCTTAAGTTTACAAAAACAGAGCAGTGACTCCTCCCCTTAGCAGCAAGCTGACCCCTCCCCTGCAACACAGTGACTCCTTCCCTTAACAGCAGCAAGCTGACTCCTCCCCTGCAACACAGTGACTCCTCCCCTTAATAGCAGCAAGCTGACCCCTCCCCTGCAACACAGTGACTCCTCCCCTTAACAGCAGCAAGCTGACCCCCTCCCCTGCAACACAGTGACTCCTCCCTGTAACAGCAGCAAGCTGACCCCTCCCCTGCAGCACAGTGACTCCTCCCCTTAATAGTAAACTGACCCCTCCCCTTCAGTACAGTGACTCCTCCCCTTAGCAGCAGCAAGCTGACCCCTCCCCTGCAACACAGTGACTCCTCCTCTTAACAGCAGTAAACTGACCCCTCCCCTTCAGTACAGTGACTCCTCCCTTATTTGATGGCTCTGTCCAAGAAATCTCTGTCTCTTTAGCTGACCCGCAGTGCTCTGAGAATTCCGTGTCTGCAAGACTGATGGAATTAGTGAGTCTAGGGGACTGGAGGGATTCTGTAAGTCTCGGAGGAGTGAGACAACTCGGGGTGCTGGGGAACCCCCAATCTAGAGGCCAGGATTGGGTCTGTGCATTGAGGTGCTGTGACTACGGCTGAGTGAGACAACTCGGGGTGCTGGGGGAACCCCCAATCTAGAGGCCAGGATTGGGTCTGTGCAATGAGGTGCTGTGACTACGGCTGAGTGAGACAACTCGGGGTGCTGGGGGAACCCCCAATCTAGAGGCCTGGATTGGGTCTGTACAATGAGGTGCTGTGACTACGGCTGAGTGAGACAACTTGGGGTGCTGGGGGAACCCCCAATCTAGAGGCCAGGATTGGGTCTGCATTGAGGTGCTGTGACTACGGCTGAGTGAGAGAGCTCGGGGTGCTGGGGGAACCCCCAATCTAGAGGCCAGGATTGGGTCTGCATTGAGGTGCTGTGACTACGGCTGAGTGAGTGAGAGAGCTCGGGGTGCTGGGGGAACCCCCAATCTAGAGGCCAGGATTGGGTCTGTGCATTGAGGTGCTGTGACTACGGCTGAGTGAGACAACTCGGGGTGCTGGGGGAACCCCCAATCTAGAGGCCAGGATTGGGTCTGTGCAATGAGGTGCTGTGACTACGGCTGAGTGAGACAACTCGGGGTGCTGGGGGAACCCCCAATCTAGAGGCCAGGATTGGGTCTGTGCAATGAGGTGCTGTGACTACGGCTGAGTGAGACAACTCGGGGTGCTGGGGGAACCCCCAATCTAGAGGCCAGGATTGGGTCTGCATTGAGGTGCTGTGACTACGGCTGAGTGAGAGAGCTCGGGGTGCTGGGGGAACCCCCAATCTAGAGGCTAGGATCGGGTGTGTACAATGAGGTTCTGGGGGGCCCCGTGTTTGGCACCGTCACTCTCCTCCTCACGGAACGTTCTCTTTGCTCTCGGCAGGTCATCGACGTGGAGAATAGTTTTGTGAGTTTATTTCCTACAAAGGCAGAAATCACCCTGAAGAAGTCGGACCCGGTGACATGGGGCAGATTGGAGCTGACAGTCTCCGCCCCCCAAATTATAGCCGAACCGGAGCCGACGCCCCAGGAAACCTTGGGAGGAGATTCTGATGACAACCTGAGCTGGTCGGAGGACGAAGAACCCGAGTGAGACGTCATCAGGGGCTGAAAACTGCAATTCCTCTTATTTTATGTTTTAGGATCTCTTCTTCCTGTAATGTTTCCCCTTCACATGTCAGATATCAGTGTTACATTGTACACCGCATGGCCTGTGGACCCCTTCACATGTCAGACATCAGTGTTACATTGTACACCACATGGCCTGTGGACCCCTTCACATGTCACATATCAGTGTTACATTGTACACCGCGTGGCCTGTGGACCCCTTCACATGTCAGACATCAGTGTTACATTGTACACCACATGGCCTGTGGACCCCTTCACATGTCAGGCATCATTGTTACATTGTATACCGCGTGGTCTGTGGACCCCTTCACATGTCAGACATCAGTGTTACATTGTACACCGCGTGGTCTGTAGACCCCTTCACATGTCAGACATCAGTGTTACATTGTACACCGCGTGGTCTGTAGACCCCTTCACATGTCAGACATCAGTGTTACATTGTACACCGCGTGGTCTGTAGACCCCTTCACATGTCAGACATCATTGTTACATTGTATACCGCGTGGTCTGTAGTCACATGTCAGTCAGTGTTACATTGACCCGTGGTCTGTAGACCCCTTCACATGTCAGATATCAGTGTTACAGATATCAGAGGTCAGGGCTCTGTACAGGACACTGAATTCCCTCCACACCAAACTGGTCCTCCATGTCTTTATGGAGCTGGCTTTGTACACGGGGGACAGTCATGGGGGGACAGAAAAGGGTCTTCACCAAACTGGTCCTCCATGTCTTTATGGAGCTGGCTTTGTCCACACAGAGGACAGTCATGGGGGACAGAAAAGGGTCTTCACCAAACTGGTCCTCCATGTCTTTATGGAGCTGGCTTTGTACACGGGGGGACAGTCATGGGACAGAAAAGGGTCTTCACCAAACTGGTCCTCCATGTCTTTATGAGATGGGACAGAAAGGGCTGTATCCTTGTCTTTATGGAGCTGGCTTTGTACACGGGGGACAGTCATGGGGGACAGACAAAGAAAAGGGTCTTCATGGGGGACAGAAAAGGGTCTTCACCAAACTGTTACCACACGGGGGACAGACATGGAAGAGCACAATTGTCTCCAATTGTCTCCAATGTCTTTGTATGATGGAGGATTACCAGGACCCCTCATTGGAGACCCCTGAGCTCCATCCTTGGGGGGGAGGGGTTCACATACCTTTGGCCATGCAGTGTATACTGTATATCGATTTTGCTGTATTTTTCATCCATTTTTCCTTTATTTTGTTTTTTCCGTGTTTGTTGTTCCTCCCTCAGCCCCCCGGAGGACCTCTCCTCCCTCAGCCCCCGAAGGTCCTCTCCTCCCTCAGCACCCCGGAGGACTCTCCTCCCTCAGCCCCCCGGAGGACCTCTCCTCCCTCAGCACCCCGGAGGTCCTCTCTCCTCCCTCGGCACCCCGGAGGTCCTCTCCTCCCTCGGCACCCCGGAGGACCTCTCCTCCCTCGGCACCCCGGAGGACCTCTCCTCCCTCGGCACCCCGGAAGACCTCTCCTCCCTCGGCCCCCGGAGGACCTCTCCTCCCTCGGCACCCCGAAGGTCCTCTCCTCCCTCGGCCCCCCGGAGGACCTCTCCTCCCTCGGCCCCCCGGAGGACCTCTCCTCCCTCGGCACCCCGGAGGTCCTCTCCTCCCTCGGCACCCCGGAGGTCCTCTCCTCCCTCGGCACCCCGGAGGACCTCTCCTCCCTCGGCACCCCCGGAAGACCTCTCCTCTCTCGGCCACCCGGAGGACCTCTCCTCCCTCGGCACCCCGGAGGACCTCTCCTCCCTCGGCCCCCCGGAGGACCTCTCCTCCCTCGGCCCCCCGGAGGCCTCTCCTCCCTCGGCACCCCGGAGGTCCCTCTCCTCCCTCGGCACCCCCCCGGAGGACCTCTCCTCCCTCAGCACCCCGGAAGACCTCTCCTCCATGTCCTTCTCCCGGTGATATGTGTTGGTCATTATGTTTTTTAATAAATTGTGTGATCCTCCTGTTACTGTCTGGCCTATCATTGTTGGTAGAAGAGTCCGACTTTTCCATGTCCAGACCACAGCTGACCTATGAAGTAACGTCACGTGGAGTCTCCATGGACAGCAGGCTTTGGACCCCCCCAACCTGAGGAGGATAAAGTGTTCCTGAGATGATCAGCAATGAAGAAGTGGCGTGGAGACTGGAGTGAAGAAGCATTGAGTACTGAGGTGGGGGGCTGGGATGTTTTCAGGAAGCTATGTACAGCACCCTGCTGGCCCCTCCCACCAGCCATGATCTGCCTGCATTACATAGAGAAGCATAGAGACCCCCAGGGCTGAGGGTTTCTGGATGGGTTATGGAGGCAGGGGGCTGTGATGTTTTGAGGAAGCAATGTACAGCTCCCTGCTGGCCCCTCCTGCCAGCCATAATCTGCCTGCATTACATAGAGAAGCACAGAGACCCCCAGGGCTGAGGGTTATGGAGGCCGGGGACTGTGATGTTTTCAGGAAGCTATGTACAGCCCCCTACTGGCCCCTCCCACCATCCATAATCTGCCTGCATTACATAGAGAAGCACAGAGACCCCCAGGGCTGAGGGTTTCTGGGAGGGTTATGGAGGCCGGATGCTGTCATGTTTTGAGGAAGCCAGGGTCGGACTGACAACTCATGGGGCCCCTGGGCAATAGGGGATCATGGGGCCCCTGTGTCCTTGCCCAAATTCAAAAAACCCTACGAAAAAGGTACCAGGGGCATCTCATGGGGCCCCCTACTGACCCCGGGCCCTCGGGCAGTGCCTGAGTTTCCAGATGGCCAGTCTGCCCCTGGAGGAAGCTATGTTGGCCCCTGCCACCAGCCATAATCTGCCTGTACTACATAGAGAAGCCCAGAGACCCCCAGGGCTGAGGGTTTCTGGAAGAGTTATGGAGGCAGGATGCTGTGATGTTTTGAGGAAGCTATGTACAGCCCCCTGTTGGCCCCTCCCACCATCCATAATCTGCCTGTACTACATAGAGAAGCACAGAGACCCCCAGGACTGAGGGTTTCTGGAAGAGTTATGGAAACAGGATGCTGTGATGTCTTCAGGAAGCTATGTACAGCCCCCTGTTGGCCCCTCCCACCATCCATAATCTGCCTGTACTACATAGAAAAGCACAGAGACCCAGTGATGACATCACTGGGACTAATATAAGGTATGGAATGACAATGGAAAGGTCTCATTTATAAATGTCATTCATATGATGATAAGGGAGGGGGGCCCAAGGACGGGGAATGTAGGCACCCCACCCACAACTGATGGGACTGGGATGAGGAATGTCCCTCCAGGGATGAGGTTCCCCGGCTCTGTGTATCCAGGGGGGGGGGGGGGGGGAAGGCTGGAATTCGGTTGTCACGTCTATGTGGAATTCTCACCCTTGGCTCTGAGTACATAAAGGCTGAGTGTGCAGAGCGATCGGCGAGGACGTTCCGGACAGACGCAATGAGCGCCCCGAAGTCAGAGTACCTGTGTAAGGTGCTGGTTCTGGGGGACCTCGGGGTGGGGAAGACGTCGATCGTCCAGCGCTACGTCCACAACATCTACTCCCAGTGCTACCGGGCCACCATCGGGGTGGACTTCGCTCTGAAGATGGTGACCTGGGACAAGGACACCATGGTGAGACTACAGCTGTGGGACATCGCCGGTGAGTCCCTTCCCTTCCCGGGACCCAACAGGTCCTCCATCCCACCAGTCATGGCGGCTTTTGTTCATCTGGTGATCCTGCCAGTAACACAGCTCCCTATGGTGTCCCCTCCATCTATGAAGGACATCTTTGGACAGCAGCATTGTCAGCGTGGGTGGGGGAGGGTTAGATTGACTAGCAGGTTTAGATACACTAACACACTGAAGCCGAACTCCAGCTCAGTCACAGAGGTTTCCGTTCCTTTCGGGGTGAAGGTTTTCCATCAATAATGACGGCAGATCATTGTCAGCACCCCTGTCAGTGGGGTTCCCTCTTAGTGCCTGGTCTAGTCAAGGGGAAACAGACTTACTGGCAGGATCACCAGGTGAAAAGAAAGGGAAAAACCTAAAAAAGAAAAGGAAGGCCTCTGTCACACGGCAGACTCTTCGTTGGGATCCGTCCGCTGAGCAGGGGGATGACAGGACCGGTCCGATCATGGGCACGCTGTCCTCTATGGGGGGGTCAGAGGGAAATGGAGCATCCCATCCACTCCGGATCAGAATGTATGTCGGCGGGTGACAACCGGGTCCATTTACATCCCACCGCCCACAGAGGAGAATGGGGGTTCTGATTGGGTCCCCCTGAAAAACAGACAGACGGACCGGATCAGAACATTCATGTGAAGCCGCCACATCTAAGGACTGGCAAGCTGCAATACAGGACATTAATATATATGGGTCCCCCCCAGGGGCCACTGACCATTTGGAAACTCAGGCACTGCCCAAGGGCCCAGGGTCAGTAGGGGGCCCCATGAGATGCCCCTGGTACCTTTTTCATAGGCTTTTTTGAGTTTGGGCAAGGACACAGGGGCCCCATGATCCCCTATTGCCCGGGGGCCCCATAAGTTGTCAGTCCGCCCCTGGTCCCCCCAACATCCCCTCCCCCCCCTCTGTGCCGGCCGGCCCATGTCCTGGCATGAAGTCCCTTCTCTGGTGATCCCGCCAGTCCCTCTGCTTTCCTATTACTGACCACACTAGGCATGACAGCACAGCGTGGTCAGTTCTCTAGCTGTGCTGGGAACTCAGCCTGCTCTCCTTCAGTCATCAGACTGTATTTGCCCCCCCCCTGATGCTGAATGTTCGCCCCTCACACAGAAATGATCGGTCTAACAATGGAATGTTTGCCCCTCACACAGAAATGATCGGTCTAACAATGGAATGTTCGCCCCTCACACAGAAATGATCGGTCTAACAATGGAATGTTCCCCCCTCATACAGAAATGATCGGTCTAACAATGGAATGTTCGCCCCTCACACAGAAACGATCGGTCTAACAATGGAATGTTCGCCCCTCACACAGAAACGATCGGTCTAACAATGGAATGTTCGCCCCTCACACAGAAACGATCGGTCTAACAATGGAATGTTCGCCCCTCACACAGAAACGATCGGTCTAACAATGGAATGTTCGCCCCTCACACAGAAACGATCGGTCTAACAATGGAATGTTCGCCCTCACACAGAAACGATCGGTCTAACAATGGAATGTTCGCCCCTCACACAGAAACTGATCGGTCTAACAATGGAATGTTCGCCCCTCACACAGAAATGATCGGTCTAACAATGGAATGTTCGCCCCTCACACAGAAATGATCGGTCTAACAATGGAATGTTCGCCCCTCACACAGAAACGATCGGTCTAACAATGGAATGTTCGCCCCTCACACAGAAATGATCGGTCTAACAATGGAATGTTCGCCCCTCACACAGAAATGATCGGTCTAACAATGGAATGTTCAGTGTAACACTGAGACAGAATACAACAACAAATTCAGCAGAAATGCGTCTAACAAATGATGACGGATCTGCATGTTCATGAGGGAAAGAAGGATTTGATCCCCTATCATTCAGCAGGATTTCTGGCTCCCAGGTGTCTCTCATACAGGTAACAAGCTGAGATTAGAAGCAGTCTCTTAAAGGGAGTGCTGCTAATCTCATTGTGTTACCTGTATAAAAGACACCTGTCCACAGGAGCCATCAAACCATCAGATTCCAAACTCTCCACCATGGCAAAGACCAAAGAGCTGTCCAAGGATGTCAGGGACAAGATGGTAGACCTACACAAGGCTGGACTGGGCTACCAAACTATGGCCAAGCAGCTTGGTGAGAAGGTGACAACAGTTGGTGCAATCATTCACAAATGGAAGAAACACAAAACAAGTGTCAGTCTCCCTAGGTCTGGTGCACCATGCAAGATCTCACCTCGTGGGGTGTCAATGATCATGAGAACAGTGAGGAATCATCCCAGAACTACACGTGAGGATCTTGTCAATGATCTCCAGGCAGCTGGGACCACAGTCACCAAGAAAACAATTGGTAACACACTACGCCGACAAGGACTGAAATCCTGCAGTGCCCGCACGGTCCCTCTGCTCAAGAAAGCACATGTCCAGGCCCGTCTGAAGTCTGCCACTGAACATCTGAATGATGCAGAGGAGGACTGGTGGGAAGTGTTGTGGTCAGAGGAGGACTGGTGGGAAGTGTTGTGGTCAGATGGGACCAAAATCCAGCTCTTTGGCATCAACTCAACTCGCCGTGTTTGGAGGAGGAGGAATGCTGCCTATGACCCCAAGAACACCATCCCAACTGTGAGACATGGTGGTGGAAACATTCTGCTTTGGGGGTGTTTTCTGCTACGGGGACAGGACAACTGCACCGCATCAAAGGGATGATGGACGGGGCAATGTACCCTCAAATCTTGGGTGAGAACCTTCTTCCCTCAGCCAGGGCATTGAAAATGGGTGGTGGATGGGTGTTCCAGCATGACAATGACCCAAAAACACACGGCCAAGGCAACAAAGGAGCGGCTCAAGAAGAAGCACATTGAGGTCCTGGAGTGGCCTTGCCAGTCTCCAGACCTTCATCCGATTGACAATCTGTGGAGGAGCTGAAAGTTCGAGTTGCCGAATGTCAGCCACCGAACCTTAATGACTTGGAGAGGATCTGCCAAGAGGAGTGGGCCAAAATCCCTCCTGAGATGTGTGCGAACCTGGGGGCCAACTCCAGGAAACGTCTGACCTCTGTGATTACTAACAAGGGATTGGCCACCAAGTACTAAGTCATGTTTTGTGAAGGGGATCAAATCCTTCTTTCCCTCATGAACATGCAGATCCGTCATCATTTGTTAGACGCATTTCTGCTGAATTTGTTGTTGTATTCTGTCTCTCAGTGTTACACCGAACATTCCATTGTTAGACCGATCGTTTCTGTGTGAGGGGCGAACATTCCATTGTTAGACCGATCGTTTCTGTGTGAGGGGCGAACATTCCATTGTTAGACCGATCATTTCTGTGTGAGGGGCGAACATTCCATTGTTAGACCGATCGTTTCTGTGTGAGGGGCGAACATTCCATTGTTAGACCGATCGTTTCTGTGTGAGGGGCGAACACATTCCATTGTTAGACCGATCATTTCTGTGTGAGGGGCGAACATTCCATTGTTAGACCGATCGTTTCTGTGTGAGGGGCGAACATTCCATTGTTAGACCGATCATTTCTGTGTGAGGGGCGAACATTCCATTGTTAGACCGATCGTTTCTGTGTGAGGGGCGAACATTCCATTGTTAGACCGATCGTTTCTGTGTGAGGGGCGAACATTCCATTGTTAGACCGATCATTTCTGTGTGAGGGGCGAACATTCCATTGTTAGACCGATCGTTTCTGTGTGAGGGGCGAACATTCCATGTTAGACCGATCGTTTCTGTGTGAGGGGCGAACATTCAGCATCAGAGGGGGGCAAATACACATTTCCTTCACTGTATATATATTGTATACAGTCTGGGGGGAGGGGTGTATATATATATATTGTATACAGTCTGGGGGGAGGGGTATATATATATTGTATATATATTGTATACAGTCCGGGGGGAGGGGTATATATATATATTGTATATGCAGGGGGAGGGGTGTATATATATTGTATACAGTCCGGGGGGAGGGGGTATATATATATTGTATACAGTCCGGGGGGAGGGGTGTATATATATTGTATACAGTCCGGGGGAGGGGTATATATATATTGTATACAGTCCGGGGGAGGGGTGTATATATATTGTATATGCAGGGGGAGGGGTGTATATATATTGTATATGCAGGGGGAGGGGTGTATATATATTGTATACAGTCCGGGGGGAGGGGTGTATATATATTGTATACAGTCCGGGGGGAGGGGTGTATATATATTGTATACAGTCCGGGGGGAGGGGTGTATATATATATTGTATACAGTCTGGGGGGAGGGGTGTATATATATTGTATACAGTCTGGGGGGAGGGGTGTGTATATATTGTATATTGTATACAGTCTGGGGGGAGGGGTGTATATATATTGTATACAGTCTGGGGGGAGGGGTATATATATTGTATACAGTCTGGGGGGAGGGGGGTGTATATATATTGTATACAGTCCGGGGGAGGGGTGTATATATATTGTATACAGTCTGGGGGGAGGGGTGTATATATATTGTATACAGTCCGGGGGAGGGGGTATATATATATATTGTATACAGTCGGGGGGGAGGGGTGTATATATATTGTATACAGTCTGGGGGGAGGGGTGTATATATATTGTATACAGTCCTGGGGGGAGGGGGGGTCCGGGGGAGGGGTATATATATATTGTATACAGTCCGGGGGAGGGGTGTATATATATATTGTATACAGTCCGGGGGAGGGGTGTATATATATTGTATACAGTCTGGGGGGAGGGGTGTATATATATTGTATACAGTCTGGGGGGAGGGGTGTATATATATTGTATACAGTCCGGGGGAGGGGTGTATATATATATTGTATATTCAGGGGGAGGAGCTTGTCTTTGTGTCTGGTGATCCAGCGATTGTTGTGCGATGTGTTCTGGCTATGACCAGGGACCAGCGGGGACTCGGATGGATGGCTCCATGCAATGTATAGAAATGTTTCCATCGTTGTCCTCCATTTTCTGCTTTCAGATGGAAGTCATGTGACGGGGTGACAACACCAGAGAGCAATTGGTGAACAGGGAGAGAGCGTTGTCACCCTGCAGCAGGAAGTGCCTGATCAGGGACCGCCCTGGCGGGATCACTGGGGATTATTGCGGATGATTTTAGATGATATTATAGATGAATGTCACACCCCTCCCCCAACCTCTGATTGCTCGTCCTCAGGTCAGGAGCGGTTCGGTCACATGACCCGGTTATATTACCGCCAGGCGGCCGGGGCGTTGGTGGTCTGCGATTTGGGCCGGGCCGCCACCCTGCAATCCGTCCATCGATGGAAGGAAGATTTGGACTCCAAGGTGTCCCTGAAGAACGGGAACCCGATCCCCACCCTCCTGATCGGAAACAAGTGCGACCTGATCCCTTATGGGGGCCACAGCCAACAGCTGGAGGAGCTGGGCCAGCAACTTGGATTTACAGATTGTCACATGACCTCTGCTAAGGTAACCACTGTCTATATGATTGGGGGAGGGGGGAGCAGTGCTAGGGGGCGGGGACACAATTCTGCACTATACCCCTCCCCCTCTTAATGTACAATGCTCCGCCCACAACTTTCTTTTCTTCCTCCAGGAGAACGTGAACATCCATGAGGCCATGTCGTGTCTGATCCGAGCGATGATCGCACACATGGAGGACTCGGGGGCTGCAGACCACGCCGCCATTGTGAAACCCACTCGTCATCATCGCCGCTACACCCAAGCATGCTCCCAGTGTTGTCACTTCTAGTGATGGGGGAGGGGCGGGACATACCCAGGGGGAGGAGCCCAATGGAGGGTTGTATCTGTCCATTATCATCCAATGGGGTGAGATCTGAGACCCGTCACCCTCATCAACAGGACGTCCGACTGATATTTATGTTCCCTGAAGGACGGCGCCATGATTGTCTGGGCATCATCCAAGGACTGAGAGGTGACCCCGTCATGTATATCCTGGGGAGACTGAGGAAATGCTTGCTCCTGCTTGCAGCAGACTGATGACATCATCTCTGCCTAGGCAGAGTCAGTGACTGGCACTGGGGGATGGCTTTGTAATGATAAAAGGCGGAGCCTCTGTGAAGTATGACACCATTGCTCTGTATGGTGTCATGTCAGGGATTTGTTCATACAGACCGCTCCCGGGAATTCTCGCCTTTCTATCAGGAAAGAGGAGGATCTCTCCAGGGGAAGTGCCGGACTTACGGAGCCATTATCGGCCAATCAGGTTGTGTGTTCCATATATGATGGTGGCAGCGGCCAATGAGAAGGCTGTACAATGTGTATCGGATGTATTGATCCTCTTCCTCATCAATGACTATCAGAGCCGAGATCAGCGGACCTTCCGATCATTATTGATAACTCCGCCTCTGCGATCTCCTATCATGAAGATGATTTGTCATCAATAATGAACTTGTCTCGTCTCATGTGATCAATAAAGAGGTTGTAACAATGACTGAGAGTGAGCATCACACCGCCACCCCGCATCACTGGGACCCGAACCTCCAGGGGCCCAGACATTCCCCTCCCCCCTCCTCCTTCAGAGGCCCAGACACTCCCCACCCCCTTCCTCAGGGGTCCTGACACTCCCCTCCCCCCTCCTCCCTCAGAGGCCCAGACACTCCCCTCCCCCTCCTCCCTCAGAGGCCCAAGACTCCCCACCCCCTTCCTCAGGGGTCCTGACACTCCCCTCCCCCTTCCTCGGGCCCAAGACACTCCCCTCCCCCCCCTCCTCCCTCAGAGGCCCAGACACTCCCCTCCCCCTCCTCCTTCCTCAGAGGCCCAGACACTCCCCTCCCCCTTCCTCAGGGGTCCAGACACTCCCCTCCCCTTCCTCCTTCAGGGGCCCAAACATTCCCCTCCCCCTCTTCCTTCCTCAGAGGCCCAGACACTCCCCTCCCCCTCCTCCTTTTTCAGGGGCTCAAACCTCCCCTCCCCCTTCCTCAGAGGCCCAGACACTCCCCTCCCCCTCCTTCCTCAGGGGTCCTGACACTCCCCTACCCCTCCTCTTTCCTCAGGGGCCCAGACACTCCCCTCCTCCGAGTTCCTTACACTCCCCTCCCCCTACTCCTTCCTCAGGGGCCAATACACTGCCCTCCCCCTACTCCTTCCTTGGGGGTCCTGACACTCCCCTCCCCCTCCTCCTTCCTCATGGGCCAAGACACTCCCCTCCCCCTCCTCCTTCCTCAGAGATCCTGACACTCCCCTCCCCCTCCTCCTTCCTCAGGGGCCCAGACACTCCCCTCCTCCTTCCTCAGGGGTCCAGACACTCCCTCCCCCTCCTCCTTATTCAGAGTTCCAGGCACTCCCCACCCCCTCCTCCTTATTCAGGGGTCCAGGCACTCCCCTCCCCCTCCTCAGGGGTCCAGACACTCCCCCTCTGCCCCCCCTCCTTATTCAGGGGTCCAGGCACTCCCCCCACCCCATCCTCCTCCCTCAGGGGTCCAGACACTCCCCTCCTCCTTATTCAGGGATCCAGGCACTCCCCCTCCCCATCCTCCTCCCTCAGGGGCCCAGACACTCCCCCCCCCCCTCCTCCTCCCTCAGGGGTCCAGACACCCCCCTCCTCCTTATTCAGGGGTCCAGACACTCCCCTCCCCCTCCTTCCTCAGAGATCCTGACACTCCCCTCCCCCTCCTTCAGGGGCCCAGGCACTCTCCTCCCCCTCCTCCTCCCTCAGGGGTCCAGACACTCCCCTCCCCCTCCTCCTTATTCAGGGAACCCAGGCACTCTCCTCCCCCTTCTCCTTCCTCAGGGGTCCTGACACTCCCCTCCCCCTCCTCCTTCCTCAGGGGCTCAGACACTCCCCTCCCCCTCCTCCTTCCTCAGAGATCCTGACACTCCCCTCCCCCTCCTCCTTCTTCAGGGGCCCAGGCACTCTCCTTCCCCTCCACCTTCTTCAGAGGAACAGACACTTCCCACCCCCTCCTCCTTCCTCAGGGGCCCAGACACTCTCCTTCCTCAGGGGCCCAGACACTCCCCTTCCCCTCCTCCTTCTTCAGGGGCCCAGACACTCCCCTCCACCTCTTTCTTCTTTAGGGGCCCAAACACTCCCCTACCCCTCCTTCTTCCTCAGGAGCCCAGACACTCCCCACCCCCCCTCCTCTTTCCTCAGGGGCCCAAACACTCCCCTCCCCTCCTTCCTCAGGGGCCCAGACACTCCCCTCCCCCTCTTCCTTCTTCAGGGGCCCAGACACTCCCCTCCCCCTCTCCTTCTTCAGGGATTCAAACACTCCCCCTCCCTTCTCATAGCCCAGACCTCCCCTCCTCCTTCCTCAGGAGCCCAGACACTCCCCACCCCCTCCCCCTTCCTCATAGCCCAGACACTCCCCTCCCCCTCCTCCTTCCTCAGGGGCCCAGACACTCCCCTCCCCCTCCTCCTTCCTCAGGGGCCCAGACACTCCCCCTCCTCCTTCCTCAGGGGCCCAGACACTCCCCTCCTCCAGCAGCACTATGGGGATAAATCATATTACAACACCTCCTCTGAAGAGGAATCTGAACACAGATCATTCTTCAGAGGGCACGACAAGCATGAAAGAGCCCTATAATCCAGCCAATCTCCTCCAGAGTGCAACCATCAGCAGAGCCATGGAATCTGTCCTGACAACACAGATCCTGAAATATCTGCTCCCCCCCTCCCCCTGGTGACAACACCTCCTGAGACGTCCCCTGACCAGGAGTGGCGTTGTCACCCCAGGAGAGACCAGAAGCTGGATGTCCTGAATTATTCCCCTATTATTCAATACATCAATCAATACCTCAGTCAACCATACATCAATCAATACCTCAATCAACCATACATCAATCAATACCTCAATCAATACATCAATCAATCATACCTCAATCCAATCATACATCAATCAATCAATACCTCAATCAATCATACATCAACATCATACATCCAATCATACATCAATCAATCAATACCTCAATCAATCATCATATCAATCAATCACATCAATCAACCTCAATCAACCATACCTCAATCAATCAATACCTCAATCAATCATACATCAATCAATCAATCAATACCTCAATCAATCATACATCAATCAATACCTCAATCAACCCACACATCAATCAATCAATACCTCAATCAACCACACATCAATCAATCAATACCTCAATCAACCACACATCAATCAATCAATACTCTCAATCAATCATACATCAATCAATCAATACCTCAATCAACCATAACATCAATCAATCAATACCTCAATTAACCATACATCAATCAATCAATCAATACCTCAATCAATCATACATCAATCAATACCTCAATCAATCAGTCATACAATAATCAATCCATCAATCAATTCATCCGTTAATCATACATCAATCATACATCAATCAATCATACATCAATCAATCAATCAATCATACGTCAATCAATCATACGTCAATCAATCATACGTCAATCAATCAATATGTCAATCAATCATATGTCATAATCAATCAATCATACATCAATCAATCATAGGTCAATCAATCATACATCAATCAATCAATCATACATCAATCAATACCTCAATCAATCAGTCATACATTAATCAATCCTTCAACCAATCCATCAAACATTAATCAATACATTATATATATGAATGACCGGATGTGACCCGGGATCAGCATGCACAGCAGAGCTCAGACTGGGAGAGGGAGAAGCAACACAAGGAGCCAATCAGTTCATGTGCTCTCAAGGAGCATGCTGACAGGAGAAGAGACCAGAGTGACTTGAGCTGATCATTGTGCTCCTTCTCCTTTCACTGTCCAATCACAGGCTAGGGGGTGTGCCCATGACAACCTGGGCTCAGATGAAATGGGCTGAATAATGCTGGCCATCGCACTGAGGCCATCTAGTGGTGGAGGCTGATATGTTCATTGTAGAATTTGCTCTTACAATGTATTCCAGTGCTTGTTTTTTTTCAGATTTTCCACAGCAGTGTTGTCACCCCAGGACAGGAAACACTATAAGACTACAGAACACCCCCCCCTTCCCTCATCTTCATAAATATAGAGGGGAGGTGTTCTGTAGTTCTGTCCTGGGGTGACAACATTCACTGCACTGTATGTATGGAGGAGCAGAGACAGACAGAAATCACTGGAGGTTCTCCGCTCGCTGGATGTCTGGCCGGATCTGCGGGGACTTTTTGTAGATTTCAGGGCCCGCACATGCTGGGGGCCCCTTTATGAATTCTGAGCCGTGTTGGGTCGGTAGACGGGATATCGGATCATCACTTGGACCGCGCAGAGCGATCGCCTGACTTTCCTTCACTTTTATCTATTTTTGTTTTCCTCCAAATTACGTTTATTGACAAAAATTTCTGAACAAAAAAACGAGACCATAAAAAGCAATCCGAGTCCCAAGGAGAACACAAACTCCAAGCAGCCAACTTCTCCCCCGCGTGACACATCGCAGGCATGTGGTGTCCCCGTCATCCCTCAACACATCATCACGGATCGGGGACAACGCTCACAGACAACAAACATGGACACTAGAGGGCGACAACGGGATGTCAGCTTTCTGTCATGAAAAAAACGTGAAACAAAGAGAAATC